ATAATAATGTAATAATAATAATAATAATAATAATAATAATAATAATAATAATATCAATCTTTTTATGCCAAGGGATGTAACCAATAAAAAACTATTTACCCAAAATTTTAATTTCCTTTCTTCGCTCCCTTAGTTCACGGCGGTTGGTCCGAGTGGTCCGACTGGGATGTGTGTCGTCAAGTCGGCCTTGACCGCATGGTGGACCAGTGCCTGTGTAGGTCAAGGTCGTGTGACTCGCCCAGGCCTGCCAACAACGGCATGGGGTGTCTGGGGCCCAGTATGGAGGTCAGCAACTGCACAGGTGAGACATAGGCTGATCATAATGATAACGATAATAATAATTACAAGGATGATATTGTCAATGATGACAACCTTTAATAACAGTAAAAATAAAAATTATAATAAGAATATCTTTATAAAGTAAAAGGTCAGATAACGAAACGTTTTTTTCTTTTTTTTTTAAAGCTGTAGGTGTATGTTTATTTACAGTTGAGTATGATCTGTTTAAACCAAAACTGCAGGATCGCCGGATTTTCCTCAGTTTAGCCAGACATTCGGTTGCGGGAGGTTTTTCGAATAGAAGAAAAAGAAAGGAGATATTATTTTCTTTCAGTTTATCTCTATTTTAGTTTTAGTTTAGTTTTAGTAAAGAATTTTACGGCGCCCGCAACAGCATAAGGTCATATGAGGGCCATATCTCTCTTTTAGGATTATGCATGTTTGGTTGAGTCATATTCCACGGTACGTTCATATTTTAAAAATCAACAATACACTTTAATGAGTCAATTTTGATTAGGCTGTACCCGTGGTTTTATGCACCTTGCAATATTTAGCAAAATTTGATAATTTTTTGCATAATTTCTGATTACTTTCCTTTTTCATTCTTTGGTAAAATTAACAGAATCACACAATTTCACATTTTTGGACGGGGACATAATATAAGGGCAATACAGAAGGAAAAAAAAAAGACAAATCGTGTCCCTTTCCACAGTTCACGGTAACTGGACAGAGTGGTCAGCATGGTCAGCGTGCTCCCAGACATGTGGTTTCGCCACACGCATGCGCTCTCGTCAGTGCGGCAGCCCGCCTCCAAAGTTCGGAGGTCGGCAGTGCCAAGGACAGGCAACTGAGGAGGAGTACTGTCGTGACAACCCGGAGTGTCCATGTGAGTACAGAAGGGTGATGGTAGATTGTTTGTGTGTGTGAGAGAGAGGGAGTAATAGAGAAGAGAGAGAGAGAGAAAATGGGAAAGAGAGTAAGAGTGAGTTAGAGAGTGAGTGAGAGAAAGAGTGAGTGAGAGAGAGAGAGTAAGATTGAGAGGGAGATGGAGAGAGAGAGAGAGAGAGAGAGAGAGAGAGAGAGAGAGACAGAGAGACAGAGAGAGAGAGAAAGAGAGAAAAGGTTGAGCATGGTTATAGCAGAAAGTGTGTGATTGTGTGTATGAATATATATGTCAGCATGTGTGAAAGTGTGAAAGCATTATGTGTGTGTCTAATGAAAATACACCTCCTAAAAACAATTCCTATTTTACTATTATTCTCTAATCTCCCCCCTCCCCCCAACCCCACC